CAGCACCGCACTCAGCACCGCGCACAGCACCGCGCAGCACCGCGCACAGCACAGCACCGCTCAGCACCGCGCAGCACCGCACAGCACCGCACTCAGCACCGCGCAGCACCGCGCACAGCCTGTGATCTCTGCGCACATCAGCACACACAGCGTGTGCACCCCTGTGTGTGCAGCACTGCCCGCATCACCCCTGCACACAGCCTGGCACACACCCCAGCCCAGCACACATCCCAGCATGGCACAGCCCATCCCAGTGCACATCCCAGCCCAGCACACATCCCAGCACACATCCCAGCACATCCCATCCCAGCACACATCCCATCCCAGCACACATCCCAGCACATTCCATCCCAGCACACATCCCATCCCAGCACACATCCCAGCACATTCCATCCCAGCACACATCCCATCCCAGCACACATCCCAGCACATTCCATCCCAGCACACATCCCATCCCAGCACACATCCCAGCACATTCCATCCCAGCACACATCCCATCCCAGCACACATCCCAGCACATTCCATCCCAGCACACATCCCATCCCAGCACACATCCCAGCACATTCCATCCCAGCACACATCCCATCCCAGCACACATCCCAGCACATTCCATCCCAGCACACATCCCATCCCAGCACACATCCCAGCACATTCCATCCCAGCACACATCCCATCCCAGCACACATCCCAGCACATTCCATCCCAGCACACATCCCATCCCAGCACACATCCCAGCACATTCCATCCCAGCACACATCCCATCCCAGCACACATCCCAGCACATTCCATCCCAGCACACATCCCATCCCAGCACACATCCCAGCACATTCCATCCCAGCACACATCCCATCCCAGCACACATCCCAGCACATTCCATCCCAGCACACATCCCATCCCAGCACACATCCCAGCACATTCCATCCCAGCACACATCCCATCCCAGCACACATCCCAGCACATTCCATCCCAGCACACATCCCATCCCAGCACACATCCCAGCACATTCCATCCCAGCACACATCCCATCCCAGCACACATCCCAGCACATTCCATCCCAGCACACATCCCATCCCAGCACACATCCCAGCACATTCCATCCCAGCACACATCCCATCCCAGCACACATCCCAGCACATTCCATCCCAGCACACATCCCATCCCAGCACACATCCCAGCACATTCCATCCCAGCACACATCCCATCCCAGCACACATCCCAGCACATTCCATCCCAGCACACATCCCATCCCAGCACACATCCCAGCACATTCCATCCCAGCACACATCCCATCCCAGCACACATCCCAGCACATTCCATCCCAGCACACATCCCATCCCAGCACACATCCCAGCACATTCCATCCCAGCACACATCCCATCCCAGCACACATCCCAGCACATTCCATCCCAGCACACATCCCATCCCAGCACACATCCCAGCACATCCCATCCCAGCACAGCACACATCCCAGCACAGCATACATCCCAGCATACATCCCATCCCAGCACACACCCCATCCCAGCACACATCCCATCCCAGCACACATCCCATCCCAGCACACATCCCATCCCAGCCCATCCCGCCGGTGCCCGCGCAGGGCACAGCTCCAGCAGGTACCCGTCAAGCTGCCCCCCGGGTGCCGCAGCCGAGCGCGCCGGTTCCTCCCCATCTGTCTTCCATCACGTCCGCCAACACATCTGACAATTATCTTAATGCCCATATGCTTAATTGTGGGCTTCTCAATTCCCCCATCGCCACTGGAAATCCTGCAGGAATTTCAATTTGGCACTTGGCTTTCATTTCAGGGGAGCAGACCTGCCATTCCCTGGCACCCCCCCCCAATGCCAGCGGTGCCTCTGACAGCGGGAGCTGCAGTTCCCCCCATAACCTGTCACCTGCCTTTCCAGCCTGAGAAGCCCCTTCCAAATCAGTGCTCCTGCTTTTCCCTAACCACTGGGTCCCAAACCCAGAGGGGCACCATCCCTACCAACGCCACAACCCCAGGTAATCCAGTAAGCAAGGTTTTATGGAACACCCCAGGAGCAGCACCAGAAGCCACCCCTGCCCTGGCTGGGGCTCGCTGACACATCCAGGTTGCTCCTTCATTCATCAAAGGAGTTAAGGATGTGAGGAGCAAAGCTGTCACGAGATGATCTGATAGAAACACACCCAGGGCAGTGACACCTACATGGACATCTGCAGGGCCAGACTCCTTGTCCACATGGAAAACTCAGCCCTCCTCCTCCTCCTCCAGGCTATGCATCCCTGGCGCCCGGGTGATAAACCCAGCAGGGACCTGGGAATGGCTCCTCAGACTTGAAAAATAAAGACTCGGGCAGATAAAAAGATGGAGGGATGTTTCTAATCAGACTTACAAGATAATATAGGATAATTGTTAGCAGCAAGTCGACCCCCCTGCCATTCCCTGCCCCCCCCCCCAATGCCAGCGGTGCCTCTGACAGCGGGAGCTGCAGTTCCCCCCATAACCTGTCACCTGCCTTTCCAGCCTGAGAAGCCCCTTCCAAATCAGTGCTCCTGCTTTTCCCTAACCACTGGGTCCCAAACCCAGAGGGGCACCATCCCTACCAACGCCACAACCCCAGGTAATCCAGTAAGCAAGGTTTTATGGAACACCCCAGGAGCAGCACCAGAAGCCACCCCTGCCCTGGCTGGGGCTCGCTGACACATCCAGGTTGCTCCTTCATTCATCAAAGGAGTTAA